CCGTAGCATGCAAACCCAGTTGATTGAATCATTCACACACCAAGCGCCTGGTGTGATGCGTTACGGGGGCGAGGAGCTACACCAAACATCTCCCATGTCCGGGATATGATTGGATTCGCACAATGTGTTGGTGTAGATTCAGATTTTATCTTAACCTCATGTGCTCCTTTCATTGGGTACCGGCAAGAACGAACATGCTGAAACTTGGATCAGTTGCTCGATGAGTGGCCAATGAAATGGCTTTGTTGTTGCCGCCTTGGAGATTGCGATAAGTCTTCGGCTAGCATGAGTTGCTTCACCGATGAGCGTCTGTTTAGTCCACGTTGAACCTTCGAATCGCAGCTGTATCGCCATAGCAACCCTCTTTCCCCCATCCGAGAGCTTTTGTCTACGACTTCATAACTCCTAATGAGATCGTGGACATTTTGAAGGTCATTGGATGATGGTCATTGAGATCACCAGACGAACCTCTTACGAAGTGCTAAGTGTACCATTACTGCACACGCGTAGTAGACGTCACGCTCAAAAATGGTACTGGCTCGATTACTATTTTTTGTATAGTTAGTTATCAAACAGTGGTCATCGGTTTCGCCGTTGGTTATTTTGGCTCCTTCTCGTCTGTTTCTCGATCTACACTGTATCATTAGTTTTTTCCCACAATTTTTCTTCTTGGGGTAGCCTACCCATTATTTTTCTTTTTGTGATAACAATCGACCATGGTGTTACTAGTGGACTATTCCAAGCGGCGTGCCGATGGCACGCCCCCCTCGAATCGGTTCATCAAGGATCGAAGCAATCCTCGGGACGAACGGTTATCCCCGCGACGATCGAATATGGCCGATGACCCAAGTGACAGTTCCTGCGAGACGGCAACGTTCGCCGATGCCAAATGCAAGGGGCCGTGTGGGTGTCCCGGACGACGGTGTGAGAAACGGTCGTCTAGTGGACGCCTGTGTCAACCAACACAAGCTCAACCTCAGTTGGAAGAAAGCGACGGCAATTTGAGTGGGGACGGGGGAATTCCCATGCCGTGGCTGCAACAAAAGGATCGCAGCCAAAAAGATAACAGCCAAAAAGAGCGCAACCTAAGTCCACAACGAAGCGATACGGGTGGCAGCAACACGAGCAATGGTAGCAATCTGTCGTACAAGAGACGAAGTTCGTGGACCAAAAAACAAGAAGAAAAACAAAAACGAAACGAACGCAAGAGCCAATCACCGCCACCACCAGCACCTCAGTCGTCTACGAGTACTACTACTTCACCCCGGAGGAAGAGTGGCAATAAAAACATCCTGAGCAACAGCCACAACAGCCACAACAACCACCACAACAAGGCTGCCGTGGTGAAACCCAACATGGGACGACGTGTTTCCCGGGCCGATCGACGACGCGAAACGGACGTGGCCCAAAAGGAAATTGACGCCGTCAAATTGGACGCCGAAGCCGCACGCAAGGAAGCGCAAGCGGCTCGGAAAGACGCCGAAGCTACTCGTCTCGAAGCAAGAGCGACACGATTGGAGTCGGATGCGCTGCGACTCGAAGCGGACGCGGCACGAAAAGAAGCTCAAGCCGCTCGCATGGAAGCGGAATTCCTCAAGAAACAGTCCGAACGACATACGCCACAACCGTCCCGATCGTTGGGATCCATCACGGATGACGACGAGGACGATGATCTTCCCGATTTGTCGACGCATTCCAAGTTGCCCATTCCACTTTCGCCGAGCCAAAAACCCAGTCGACGCGTGTCGTTGGCGGAACGAAGACAAATATCGGTCGATGCCGAAAAGGCTAGCAAGCTCAACAAGAAACGTCAAGAACAACTGCGGAAATTGCTCGATGAATCAGAGGCGAGTCAATTAACGTCCGTGCCAGAAACGACACCGGATTGGGCTACTAAATGGGCCAGTAGTACATCTGCCTTGCCACCACTTACCGGTACGTCAACCCATAATCCCTTGGACAAGGACGATTCCTCGGGGCGACGACAGCAGTCGGTACCCACATGGGCCACGCAGTGGGCCAGTGGTGGAGGAGGAGCTGCTGTTGGAGGACAACAGCCACTGGGCAAGACAAGTGACCATGCGGAACGGGAACGACAAGCATCACTGCCCGATTGGGCCATGAAGTGGGCCAATGGCAATGCGAATACTGGACCACAACCCAAAAACAACAACAAGAGCGCGCTCGGAGGAACAGGCGCCGCGCCAGATTGGGCCAACCAGTGGGCCAGCGGTAACAACAATAACAACAACAACAAGACTGTCAGTGCACTGGGATCATTATTATCGACAAGAGCGTCACCAGCCGACTGGGCCAAGAAGTGGGCCGAACAGAACCGGAGGTCGTCCAGGAAACTAAAACCAGAAGACCTACTAGAGCCAGAAGATTTAAAAGAACTAGAGCAACAACAAGAAGAAGAAGAAAGGGAAGTCAATCCAAAACGAAGAGTTTCTCGAGCCGAACGGAGACGGTTATCGCAAGAATTCGAAGCCCTTTCCGAGTCGGCCAAATCAAGAAATGAGAACAAGAATCGTGAAGACCAGGACAAGGACGGAACTTCTCCCAATAGACGGATCTCTCGAGCGGAACGCAGGAGGCTTTCCCAAGAAGCCGATGCAATCGCCAAACTAAAGAATGAGAAAAAGACCCAAGAAGAAGAAGAAGAAGAAGCTCCTCCAAAGAGGATCTCCCGAGCCGAACGGAGTCGGCTTGCCAAAGAGGCTGAAGAGGCCGCAAAGGAGGCAGCAGCACAAGAAGATGACAATCCCAATCGTCGAATCTCTCGAGCTGAACGAAAACGGCTTTCGCAAGAAGCCGCCGAGGCAGTGAAACAAGCCGCCGAAGAAGCGTCAGCCAAAACAAAGAATGAGAGATTCGAAGAAGATAAGGAAAATGAACAAGAAGAAGAACAAAGGGAAATGCCTTCGTTGCTGTCGAGTATGCCCAGTCTCGGTGGATGCCCATCCATGCGTCATTCCATGTCGGACAGCAAGAGAAAAAGCAAAAGCTTTGAAGACGACAGGCTACCCCTGCCTTCCTCGTTGCTTCAGAAACCAGGCCCCGGCAACAATTCCCAGACTGCTAGTGGAATCGCCATGTTCAAGCGGTGTGATACCAACGAACTCATCAAAGAGCACAGGAATCGCCGACCCACTGTACTGGTGGAAATAGATGACGATTCTAGCATCATGGAGATGAGCGTCTCTGAGATGAGTGTCGGTCACATAGAATCCGGAAATCTCTCCGGGCAGCTCTCACCACCCCTTTCGCCCTTGCTCAAGAAGAAAGAGGAGAAGAGGAAAGAGGAGAAGAAGGGCGGTGCCGTTGACTGGAGCAAGCCCTCACGCAATACTGTGGATTTGTCCGTGAAGTCCTCGGCGGCTGCCGCCAAGCGCATGCCTGTCGTTACTGGAGGGCGCAAAATTACGCGCAGTGCTAGTGCGAGACAGATGAAGATGAACGCCAGTCTCAGCAGCATTGTCGAAGCGGATGATGACGAGGAAGACGACAACGGTGATTCTGAGAAACCCACCAACCTCAGGTCTTCTCTGAAAAAGACGCGTGGTAGCGTTAGTTTGTCGGATTTGTATGGCTCTCCAGACTGGGACAAGGATCGCCCTGACCTCTCCAAGGGCATCTCTTTCACTCTCCGACGCACCAAAAGGCCCGACCGAGCCAAGAGTATGGAAGAGAGCGTCTCCAGTATGGCACGCTTGGAAGAGTCCATGTCTCAGTTTGTCGTGGGTGATCTCGATGTTAGTGGAAAGACCACTGGAGACAACAGCAATGATGCTGGCTTGGAACGGAAAGGTTCAACTCACGGCCCACCCCCACCGTCCAAGCGTATCTCTGATCCCACCACCTCAAGCTCAAACTTTCGTTGTCATGAGCACATGGAAGGCCAATGCACCAGCTGCTCTCGTCGCCACAAGATCACCAAAGCGAAGTCTATATCGGATATGTTGTCTGAGTCACAGAAGATGTCTGAATCACAGATGGAACTGAATGAGGATTCCAAGGCCAGCTTTACGATCAACCGGAGCGCCAGCCTGAACAAGACGAAATCCTTGTCGAACATGACCGAGAAAGAAGCGTATTCGAATAATATGGATATGAGTCCCAAGAAGGCAAAGAGCGAAAAGATTATTTTAGGCAGCCCCAAGAAGGATTCGGACCCGACAGTGGAAATGAATAAACAGGAATCATTGCAAAGGATTCGCCGACCAAGCTTGAACAGACCAAAAAGCCCCACGAGGGCTGATTTGACCAAACTGGATGTTTCGCAAATGAAACGACCGAGCTTCAACCAATCGATGTCGTTATCGCAGTTGTTCTTTGATCCTGCGAAGTTGCTTCAGGACTCTAGCATGCAGAATAGTGAAGCAACTGAAGATGTTCCGCCGCCACCAAGTACCCCCAAATCTCTCAGCCCCAAGCAGACCAGCCCCAAGCCAAGCCCCAGGTGGACGACAAGCAATCACAAGAGGGAGTCAGGCAACCAAAAGAGGGAGTCAAGCAACCACAAGAGGGAGTTGGATTCCTCAGATGGAAAGAACGATAGTATTCCGACGACAATTGAACTGGGATATGAAGACACCGACAAGAGGGAGTCAAGTTCCAAAGGCGGGAAGAAAGAGATTCCTACGACTATTGAACTGGGGTATGGAAATGGCAGCACAAGACTCTCAAGCAGTACCAGAGGAGATGGACGGTACAGACGTGGCAGCAATGGGGGCGATCAACGGTACAGAGGGGTGGATGGCAGGCGTCCCAGCAATGGAGGCGACAATCGTTATGGTGGCGCAAGACTCTCCAGCAGCTCTGGGGGCGATAGACGGTACGGTGGCGAAGGCAGTGGCCACAGACGTTACGGTGGTGAAGGCAGTGGCCACAGACGTTATGGTGGCGGCGGTAGTGGCCACAGACGTATAGAGACGAGCTCGGGCGATGGCGACAAGCGAATCTCTGCCTCCAAATCAAAAGATGGTGCTGGAAGGATTTCGACTAGCACCGGGGGCACGGATAGACGGCGCTATGTTCTGGGGTCGTATTCAGACGGGGACGACAACTCCGATTACTCCTGTTCCGATGATGATGATGATGATGACAACCACAATTCATTTGCTGCTGATGACTCGAATCAAGCAAAGAGTGGTGGACGTCGTCCACAGAGGCGGCATGTTTCCATGTCTCACGTATCCAAGTTGGACTCGTCGGGAGATGATCGCCGTGGTCACGGCCGGCCCTCCTTGTTGAGTACATCGGGTAAACTGACGTCCCGACGCAACCTGATGAACCAATCGATGAGGAACGTGACAGGCTCCTCCCGACGCAACTTGTTCGATGCCAAAACCTTGGAACGCAAAGACAGTGGGAAGTTACAACGCACAGGCAGTGGCAAACTACAGCGCACAGGCAGTGGGAAGTTGCAGAGGAAGAAGGGCGGAATGGACTCGTCTGCAGTTTTTGGGACGTCATTCCGCCGGCTCGATAGTGGGAAGAAGTCCTCCATGGACACGTCCGGGTTTGTGACAGGAAGCAGAATTCGTCGTATTGAGGATGGATCCCAGCTCTTGCGGGGAATGGAGCTGAGGGCTATGCCAACTCGTTAATTATAGGGACATAGAATAGAGACTATGTACACACAGTAAAACACCAAGCTACAGCTCTAGACTAGTAATGTATGATACTACTAACAGGCAACGAAGCTAAAACCAAGGTAACGCAAAGAGGAATCGTAAAAGGGTCTGGAAATGGCAATGCAGGTGCCTTCCTGCCCATGAGTATTTTGAATCTCGTGTGATGGTGCTGCCCACACCTTGCACGAGCTTAGATCACTGCCCGGCTGGTACCAGTACAAGGCCAAAGCAATGCTGCAGGCGAATGATTGAGATTCGATTCAGTCGGAGGTGTGCTGTCGACGAGTTTCTACGCCTTTGGTTCTTTATAGGTTGCTCTGCCACCGGAACATCAAGAGCATGGTATCGCTCTGCCTCTCAGCTTCTGCATGCTGGGTACCGTACTGTACGCGTCAGTGGTCTAGCTAGCCAGGTACATGTACATGTAGCCGTTGTACTAGTATCGTGCTGTCTCAAACAGTGTGACTGGATCGTTTGTACCAATGACCCAGCTGAACTCTTTCTTCTTAACTTTATTAAACTCAAACATCACAAAGCATTAAGAATATGGTGCTCCTCAGTCCCTAGCGGGTGAAAACTAAACATGTTCGCGAGCCCAAGTACTGCTAAAATGTATAGTAGCATAGTCTTTTCATGCGCGATGCTGCAGAGTTATGTGCGAAAAAGATGCCTCCGACCGACCAACACCCCTCATCCTTCATGATCGCCTCAACACAATTTTCGGCAATCAGCGGTTTACATTTCTGCTCCTTTGCCATCATTCTGGTATTCGCGAAAGCAAGATGAGGACTTCTTTGCTAACGCTAGCGCTGATCTCTTTATCCTCATCAACAATCTCAGGAGCTCATGCTGACTCTGTTCGTCGATCCTTGAAGGGTTTGGTGTTCAATGGCGCTCCCGGCAAATACGTGGGTAGAGGCAGCGCCCCACATGATCAGGAGACCACAGAAGCAACCTTGGTGGGACATCTGACCGAAAATAACACGGCTGTCCTGGATGTGACTCCTCCTCCTTCCGATCTTCCAGCATCTGCAGAAACCACTGCAGGGGTACCGGTATCCAATCCACCTCCTTCCTCTCCCACAGATAACGAGGAAGAATTCAGACAGGAAGAAGAAAAAGAGCTAAAAGAGGAAGAAGAGGACAGCATTCTGGCTGCTCTGCTGGGGAGTTTCATGGGCAGTTTCACGGCCGTGGCCATCTTTATGGCTCTAGCTTATCGCTTGATGGTCCAGAAATTTGAAGCTGCCAACATCACAAACAAGCATGTGGAAGAAGTGGATGTGGATACTGTGGATTTTAGTTCCGCGTCTCATAAAGGTTTTGAGGAAGACCTCACAGATGTTACCCTGGAACAAACTACTACCCATGCAACATCAAACAATCGCTTCGTCACAACAACAACCCGCTGGGATGAATACATGCCACCATCCAATGGTAGCGGTACATTTTCTCCCAATTCATCTGGCCGATTTTCCTTTGTTGCCAGCAACAGTGTTTCCACAGATGTGGAAGAAGCAGATGGCGCTGATCAATTGACAGATTGGAGCGAACCGGGACCGCGTCAACAATGGAAGGGTGACAAGTGCCTTGTTATTGTCTAGTGTAGTCTGACTTGTACCGTAGCCTGTATGGCTGGACCTGGGGACAAAGCCAGCTGTGGTAGCCACAAAGGGACATGATGATGTGTCCAATTGACAAATCCCTTTTGTTTGTATTAGTAGCTAGGACAGGACAAAGACGCATGGACAAGACGGCACTAGAACTCCGACAAAATCAACAACCAACGCACCACCACAGAGGGGATTGCGTTTACGTGCACTTGACGCTATCACCAAATCTCAATAATTATTAGCACGATGACATTTATTTTTCCAATATCGATCGAGTTAGAGCAGGTGTGGAGCCAGTAGGCGTCGCATCAGTAGGCTTTGAAGGCACTGGTACTGGGATAGCAGCGTGGTTGTATCGCAGGGAGTCGTCAGAAGAAACAACCTCGCCTACTAGCTAGCTAGTAGAAGCACTTTGCAAGCGTTTGTGAGTTGTCGGCACATTACCAGCCCTACAGCAAACTTTCACCCGAGAACCTTCACTGTGCCACCACTATGGCATAGCACAAACAACCATGCTGACCAAGCAAGCCCCGCAACTGCAGTACCGCTGTAACACCGGTAAGAATCCGTTTCAGGTAGACTACCTCCCCCGCGGTTGTCTGTGTATCGTTGCCTTGAATCCCTGCATCAACTAAGCCTTGGAGCAAACTGCTATTATAGTCTGGCCTGCTTCTTGACGTGCAGCTGGATGGCTTGTCAGAAAGCAGAGTCGAGTCTACATGATGAATGCTAGTACCAGGTAGCTACTTACGTAGTCGGTGCAAGGCATCACTTACTTGTGAGACTACTCAACATGAGAGGGGACAAAGCATACATACATGTACAAATATGCAAATATGTTGTCTTTCCTGGACAACGTACAGGTATCTAAAGACCATGCATGCACCCCTACCGGTACTTCGGAGGGAACTACCATCCCCCATGCTCTCCCCTCCCCCCTACTAGCTCCCTTTTGCCTGCTCCTGTCCTCCCCACTCTCCCAGTACATACCCCCTGGTACCCACTACAGATACCATCGATCTGCCTAACTTAGCCCCCCTTGCTCCTTAACGTATCTACTTAGTATTTGCAGAAAACCATCCCCCTCGACCCGTACTATACCAAGATCGCATGATCGAAATCCTTCAGTTCAATACAGACCTGGTGGCTGTGACGATTGGTGAGCACGAAAATAGATATGACGAGGACACTGGGGAACCCCTCCCACCAATTGTGCATAAACAGGATGATATTGACTACTACGCAACATAGAATGATTGTGGCAGATTTCAATTTCAAGATCCAGACGAGTTCTTGGACGACATGGTGGACAGTTTGATCAAGGTGATAGCAAAGTACACCGATAATGATCATCTTGTCCCATTTGCTATCCCAGTGCTTTATGCGCTCATGAGGGAAGCGCCTGGGAAATGGAGTGCGGTTATGCGGGCAGAAGACGACAACGAACTGCCCATGGAAGATTCCAACCAAGACCGTCCAAGTCTCAAACGCGAAGCTTCTTGTTCCCTCGACCGAAATTCTTGCATGAAGTAGCCGACTAGTGGACGTGTCATGCACGGTTGAAGAAAGCTCCTGGACTTTCCCATAATAGTAGCACTGCTAATAAGGACGAGGATTTTAGTTACATTAAATTCTTGATTGGCTACATTACGTGCTACAAGATACGGTAGGTGGTCAAGTTACAAAAGGGCTAGTCCAAGGAAGTGCTTCGGTCTAGGGAATAGGAGGCTTTGCGTTTCCTATTTGGCGGACTCATGGCAGACGGCTTGCTGTTCTGATTGTCTTCATCCAAAGCTTGACCACTCCATTTGCCAGGTGCCTCCCTCAACAGCCCATTGAGAACCCGGACAGTGGATAGCTCTTTGTCATCCATTTTATACAACACTGTCCTGTAAGGGTGATGGTGAGGGCGAGGGTAGCGGCCAACAAAGTCTCTATAGCTTGATGTTGCCTTGTCCAACAGATCTACAATAGCTCGCATTGTCATCTTTGGGTCTCGCATCACACCCCTGCCATACTCGTTCAATGTTGTGTAATGGTCAATCAATCCCTTGTCATTCAACGCCTTCTTATCCTTCAAACTTGCCTTATCAAAATGTGAAACATCCCCAATGGCGACACCAGTCAGAGATGTATTCCACTGTAGGATCTCAATCATGCGATCTCGGTACTCTTCCACAAGATGAAAACAGTCGGGCAACGAAAAATGTTTCAGCCCAGAAGCAGCAATAACATCTAGAATTGGCAGAAAGAACCCACTCTGTTGGTCTTTCCCTCCACTGTCTCCCCCTGACTCTTCATATATGTTGTCCTCAAATCCACTGCTGTTGATTCTAAGGGTCTCCATTGGCCCATATGATATCAAGTCGCAAATTGCTTTGACCAGATTTTGATCCAAATTGTCTCCCACTTCAATAGGCACTTCCAATCCTTTGAGATTTTTGAGTTCTTTCAACTTTGCCGCCAACAAAGATCTGCACTCTGTTTTCGATTCAGCATCCCAAATTCTATCCAAGCTTCCAATTTCGATGAACTCGACATCACCTGGAATGTGCCGTATCATGTCACACAGGACATCATCATGCAGATGACCCCCCCAATATCCTTCATTATCGGTAAAGACGGCATGAAAAGGGCCAGAAACTTCACCTGGGAGCTCATTGTAGTATGCGGCTTCTGGAAACATTTTGAAGAGGGCCACAAAATTGTCAGCATTCTGGTTGCGTCTATTGTCCAAAAGATCCACCATAACTTGAGCAATTTTTGCTTTCAAATACACACTGGGTTCTGCTACAAGCTCCTTGAGAAATTCAATCACATCACGGCTTGTGTTATGTCGACATGCATCCAGGAAGACATCATCGTTCATGGCAGATGGATCTGCGTCATAGACCAACTGGATCATCTTTAGTGGTGCATCCGACACGACCAAGGCCTGCAAAGCAGACATGGCTTGGAGATCAACCAAATAAACATAATTATTGGACTCGTGATAGGTATCATTGTAGTCGAATTCAATTGGCAACGTTGGCATGTTGTTGAACTCCCTTTGCAGTGGTTTATTATTGGTGTGATATATACCAGTACAGGGTACTTGTGGTTGGGATAGTTCGCGGCAGGGTGGACTCCAGTTCAGTTCGCTTCAAAACCAAAATAATATTGCAGTGTCAAATCATGGAGTGGGTTAGCTAGTCTAGTACTGGTACATGTACACCAGTGGCAATGTGGCTTGATCATTCCACTCAAGACTCCAGCAAAACCAAAACAGAGGGCTCTCTGAACAGAACGATACTAGTACCTGTATCTTAGGCCCAGTTTCAACAACTCCGGTAGGATGGCAAAATCGGAAATTGGAGGCTCTTTGGAGGTGACCTCGCCAGAATGACTCCCAAAAGAGGCCTTTGCGCAACAACCAATTTCGGCTTTGGGCAAACGGCTGGAGGCTTGGTTTGCGCAAGGCCGAAATGGGTTTTTGGTTCCAACCACCAGTTTGATTGGCTCTCCAGACCCCAACTTGACTGGTTTGGGGATCATTCTCGACATGCTGCACAACGCTGACCAAAAATATAGAAAGAAGACAACAGCAGAACATAGTTGAGAGTTTTAGATCTCATTGATGCAGCTACCAGCCAACCATTTCCACAACAGAATTGGCACGTACGCAGAAGCCCACTACCACGTTATGCGCTTTGGTCTGAGCATGCGATTGTTCTGGGCCGGTTTCAATGTACTGCAGCTGGACATTAGGGAATCCTCCATCATGGCATTGTTTGGAGAGTATATTGCCCTTTGGAAGAGAAAAGAAGAAAAGAAACCAAGACAGATGTCGATACGCGGGAGAAGATACTGCCCCCCGAATGCAATGGCCGCAGTTATGTAGAGCATACCTACGCCGAACTGAGAGCTGTTGCACCCTGGATGAGCGAATCTTTGTCGGGTCCTACTGAAAGGATATTACACAGTGCAGTGGTCAGTTTAGAGCTGATCTCCATGACCGATGGGAATCGCCTCAAGCAACTTCTGACTTAGTAGATTGGCAACTGGAGCAGGATCTATCTCGGATGAAAGTTGAAGAAAAAGTAACACCCACGCGACAGAACGATGTTGAAGGAAATCTACAGCGTCGTACTTTGTATGGGATGGCCATCGTTGACACCTATTCTCTCTGTATCTATCTATATATATGTAAATGTCTTGTCTGGCTCCAGAGGAATCAACTCACCAATGCAAGCGACAGGGCCTTTGTAATTGCCGCAGAAAAGAAGCTCTATGATCTTGTGACAAGGGTTAATAAGGAAAACTTGAAGGAAAAGAACAAGGGAACTGCTCCGTTGATCACCGCAGAACCCTACATCCGTCTGATCGAGTGCATGCTCAATGACAGCATCCGCCCACTGTTCATGGAGATGCACAGGATGGGGTAAGAGATGAGTTAGATGCAAGGAATTCTTTGGACAGGCCGGAGACAGTCTATGAGGCTTGTGCCAGACTGTACAACGATGCGTTATTCTACGTTGTTTGCTTTGATTTTTTTTAAAAGATGTGCCCTCGATCACCGCTGATGAAGTGAAGCGCCACTGGGTGACAGCCGTGCCAAGTTGATAAAAATCATTATTTTTTATAGTGAGACTGAAGTGCGCAACGAGATTCGTTCTTTTTATGAGACAGGATTGGAAGATTGGCGGTTGCGTCAGCATGGGAGGTTAGAGGACGAGCTCCTTTATCTAGCTAACTTCATGCGATTCCCAGACCTAGAACACCATCTATTGTTGTTTCATTTTGTCTCTATTGTATATGTAACTATTAATGTTTGTTTTGAGTGTCATCTCTGATTCTTGTGCCGTGCTTGTAGTCGTATGTAGTGGTCGTCTATCGGTTGGCGGATCTTATCTCATATTATTCGGATGACGAACGTGCTTTGGTTTTTTGTTTGCTTCTTACCATTTTTTTTTGCGTCTCGTTGCCGTCCGATTGCAAAGAACTCCGGAGACACGGACCATTGTTCGAGGTCACAGGTCAAGTCAGGGATTGCGCCCCAGCTCCAACATAATGACTTGTACATGGGCATTGCTCGAGGCACAAGTGAGAGCCGTTAGGTTTTATGGGGATTATTAAGCAGCGCGCGAGATTTCTCTCTTTTTTT